TGGATTATCTTTTTACAGCCATCTTTGAATCCGGAAGCTGGAAGACAGAACAACCAGAACAAACCTTTGGGGACGCCTTCTGGAGTATGGGGTAGGTAGAGGTATTTACCTCGATTTATGGAATGCTGATGCTCAAGCAGAAAGTTTCAATTGATATTTAAACACACTCATTTTACATACAGATCTTGAGGACCTGAGTGGAGGAAACAGTTGCAGTTTACTCTTTGTTGTTTTTCTCCCATTATCATGACTAATCTCTTGGTCTTTTTGCCTAGTTAAAACTGTTCTTGTCATAGAATACTATGAGTGGCAGTAATGTCACAGCTCTGTTTACTTACTATTTTACTGCAATCATAATTTCATGCAGACATCCCTGGAAAGATAGGGCAGATGTGTGTGATCTTCATAGGTCTTCCAGAAATACAGTGACTCTGTCGTAGTTCTGTGGTTTGGGTTTGTTTGCTTTTCTTCTTGAACTGGATCAGACTTCTGTGATTTAAAAGATACAGATTCTTGCACAAGAAACTAGTCTGAAACAAGGTAACACTACTAGAAACTAAATATGTGTGTGTTAATCTCTAGAAGGCAATTGGGTTAATTTGCTTAGGGGTATTCTAAAGAGTGAGTAAAAGTACAAAAAAGAGGGTTCTTGCTGTAATACCAGGCTATACTCTCCTTCCATGTCAGGTATTTACTATTCTACTCAACAATAATGTTTATTTTTTATATTTGTTTTTGATTAAATTATTACTGTTCTCTAAATTCTTCTGGCTCTGCAGATATGTTGGTTTGAGTTAAGAAATACTAGTTGTGCTTAGTTGCAAGAGTGCTGTACCTTTTGGGGTGTAAGCTAAGCTAAATATTTTTGCTGTGTTAGTAAATGAACTCTGCTGATTCACAGGTCCTCAGAAAAATGCTAATATCTGTTCTTATTCTTGCAGCTTGAAAGAAGGCTGTTAGTTCATGTCACTATAGATTTTTTTTTTCCCCTTCAGCTCAAGGGAGCTGTTATGCTTTAAATGAAGAGAGACAGGGCTTTGACATTTTTGCCCAATATCTTTTTTGAAGATAAACAAAAGAACAGCTGATAGCAATCCCAGACTCGGGCATGTGTAGCATCTAAGATTTAGAAGAGAGAAATTGGAACAGCATTTTGAAGCTGTTATGAAACTAAAGTTTTATATTTCAGCATGTTTCTGATTTTTTTTTTCTTTTTTTTTTAATAGAAAACCCTCCTAGTGCCAAGCAACCTACCAAGATGCTGGTCATCAAAAAGGTTTCAAAAGAAGATCCTGCTGCTGCCTTCTCAGCTGCATTTACATCACCCGTTTCTCACCTGGCAAACGGCAACAAAGCCACCACTATTGTCCCAAGTGTCTACAAAAACCTGGTTCCTAAACCTGCAGCTCCTCCTTCCAAGGTACAGAGGTTTCCAGATAAGTTGTTATACTCAAGTCAAGGGAGAACTTTCTCCCTTGACATGGGAATTGTGCCCCCCAAACAAATCCATAAGATTGAATTTTGTAGTATCCCTTACAGTCAAGACTTGTCTTTTATTAAAATTGTTTTTCTAGGCTATTAATAATAGAAGAACTATTTATTGAATCAGGCCATTAAGTCCATACACATAACTGTTTAGAATTTAGAAGTTAAACAAGGTGCAGTTTCTGATAGTCACTGAGTTCCTTGTGTTTTTTAAGTTTTCTTGGGCAGCTTTGGTAATGTATGTCTGCGTATATAGTCTTACCTATTTTAAGTCTAAATTATTTTCAGTGTTCTTGAAGCAGGAAGTTAGTGATACAGTTTCTGTCCAAACCTTTAGTTTGTCCCCTTGATTGTTCACTAAAGGTTGTATCTTATTCAAAGAAAAAACAAGTACAGCTTTTCAGTCTTAGCTGTTGCTATTGCTGTTGCGTACTAAGATACGCTGTGAGGTCTGGAAGTTAGTGCTTTGCAAACTGTAGTCCTTGAGAGAAAGAAATGCACTTTGGAAAACTGTGTAGAAGTGCCTAATGATACTGCTGCTCCTGCTGTATCTTATTGCTTGGAATTGTAGAAGTTGGACATCAGAATCTGTTTAGTTAGCTATTATTTCTTGCTGTGCAGTCCCCATTGCATTTGTTTTGGCTGCTTCTAAAGCATTTAGTGGTAAGCTTTTCATTAATTCAGTCTAGTCAAACCACTTTTGGAAGCAGTTCCTTTCTGTACTCTCAAATTAGGATCTTTAAATTTTGATTTTCAGTGGAGTCCAGAGGTATGTTACTCTCTGCTTTCAGTTGGAATAGACCCTTTGATTTTTTATAAATAATTTTAAAATGTTTTGGTTTTATTGAGACAGCATTGTGGAATGGAAGCTTATATCAAAATACTGCTTGTGGGGGTTTTTTGTTAACATGGTTTTGTGCATTACATAGCTATGTTTGCATTCTGAGTTTATATTTATCTTTAAGCTGGATGATATGGCAGCATAGCCAGAAGTGTGACATCGTACAAGAAAAAGGCAGCTATGGTAGGATTCATTCCTCTGAGGACTCCAGCAAGTTGTATGGAAATTGTAGTGCCTAAAGTAATAAAGGGATTGAAACATTCCTACCTGTCAACAGTATTAGAAATCTGTCACAGTCGAACTAGATGATAAATGTTTTCGTGCGTAGTATTGAGAAGAAAAGAGAAGAACTCTCCTGTGGAAACAAGTACATTGTTTCTTCCAAGAAAGCAAATTGCTCAATGTTAGATGATGTATATACAGGTAATAATCTGTAGGCAGCCCCTTCTGATGTTCAGCTTTACCTTTTGTGCCTTGCTCAACTCCAGTGGCCTCCCTAAAATACTGAGGGGATCTGTCTTTGAATTTGTGTGAGCTGCCCCTTTGTGGAAGCTGGAAGGATAACAATTAGCAGCCAGGAGGTATCTGAATTGGCAACCAAGGCATCTGAAAAAGTACCCTCAGGGGAAAAGAGGAATTTTGTTAAAGTAATTCTCCACCCCTGATTTTAGCAGCTGGCAATATTGTGCAGTTTAGGCTCTTTTGTTGGTTTCAAGGGAATATTTGGAGTCTGTAGTGTGAGTGCCAAATAACTCATTTAATAATGTGGACTCTTTTTGGTTTTCAAGTTGGAGTGGGAGATTAGTGATGTCAATGTGCTGATGGTCTCTCCTGAAGGAAGGCAAACTCCCAGTAGAAAGAGCATCCTGAAGTAATGATTCTTGCTCTCATCTTTTGCAGAAAGAAAGAATTGTTTCACGTCAGGCTCAGTCTAATCCCACTATGCACTGATTATTTTGCTAGTGACTTGGCCTCAGAAGTCTAACCATTCAAAGGAACAATATGTATTCATGCTCCAACAGGTGTATTGTACTACTTGAAACATGTCTCTTGTTAGGATCTTTGTAGTAAAGGCTGTTGCTGTACCAGATTTGTCCTTGGTTAATAAGAGAGTCCCCAAAACAACATTTCAAGTAGCAAAGACTTATCTCGAAGTCCTTGTTTTTCACTCAAACTAACTGCCGGTTATCTGAATGAATGCTGCATAGAGTATCTAGAACAAAACAGTAGCTGGTTTTGCTCTTTAATGATCTGGCTTTTCAGTAACAAATTCTAAGGGCTTTTCCTTTTTCCTTCCCGGGTTTACTAGAGGGTGGTGCCCACAAAGCAGAATTTTGATGTCGTCTGGGGAAAATAGAAGATGGTGCTGATGGAGGGAATAATGTTTTTAGGATTAAGCTTGAGACTGTCCTCTGAGAGGGAGAGGAAAAAATCTTCCCCCCTCTCCCATTTAAGCAGACAGTTTAAACAAATATCATGTTTGTTAATTTATTTCACTGTTTTTAATCAACCCATTCTTGTGCCGTACCATTTACTGTCTAGTATTTTGTGTTCTCTTAAAATAGCCAAGTCCTTGGAAAGCAAACAGAAGTGAACACAAGCCAGGCTCACTCTCCTCCAGCCGTGAGTCTGCCTTTACCAGTCCAGTGTCTGTAACCAAACCAGCGGTCCTGGCGAGTGGCTCAGTCCTCACTTCTCCCAAAGAGGTAAGAACTTGGGTTCTGGGACTAAGGGCAAACTCTACCTCTGTCACCTAGTGTAGCTTGAACACTATAGTCCTGTGCATGCACTATCTGGGTTTGCACCCTTGAATGACTCACTTGCACATTCTTAGCAAATTGTACCACGTTCCTAATATGCTTAAAGAAACAAAAATGTAGCTTATCTGGATGTGAAGCACTGCCATGGGTGTTTGTACAAAGGTATTAGAGTTTCTCTCCAATATAAGAAGGGACAGGTGCTCTGTATAATGCCACATTAATAACTGGATGTGCATAGAATCAGTCTGCAGTCTGCTGTGTTATCAGAGTGCAGATACCAAGAACAGGCATGAACTGGAAGGTAAGATGGTTCTTATGCTGTTCTGTAATATGAGAGGAGGGGAAGGAGAGTGAACAACCTCCTTTCCTTCTCCAGGAGAGCAGGGTCCTGCACAGTGAGCTTTGACTAGCCCAAAAGGTTTAAGGGATTCAGCATGTAGACACTTGCACTCTTCAGCTACGATGCCCATTCTTACTGTTAGTGTTAGAAGGGTGTAATCTGCTGAAGTTCAAAACTGACTTACCTCTCTTTTTTGGTCTGAAGCAGACCTTTGGAATATGTCTTTAATGTTTCAGCAGTGCTTGTGATACATTTAGACCAGCACTTTTATATTTTTTATACTTGCATTTATATAGATGGGGCAATAAAAGGATTTTTGTCAAGTAATTCATGTACAAAATGTTCTTTTGAATCTTGAAACTCCGCAAAGCTTAATAGAAAAGTACCATTGTTTATTTTCCCCCTCCACTCTTGGTAATCAAAGCTCAATAGGTTTGTGATCATATGTTTAATAATATTGCTTACTATTGCAAGTGACTTGTTCACAACATTTGAAGTGAGCATTCTTGACATTTTATGTGTAACAGTGATATAATTTTCAGAGTATTTGTCTTGGTCCTTTACAGATCCTACTTCTAAAGCAAAATCTGTTTTCTTTATGGTTCTCTGCTTTGTAGGATTTACTTTGAAGTGACCTGTACTTTTCTGTTTTAATCACTGTGAGCGTAGAAGTAGTCACCAGAGCAATAGTTGGCAAGCATGTGCTTGTACTTCCATAGACCGAGTCCTTTGTGCTTGTGCACCACCTGTACCAAAATACAAAATCTGTACAATTCTGTACAGTTTCCTGTGCAGCAGCATAGTATGCATACCTTTTCAGCATAAATGTGTAAGTAAAATAAGCTTTCACTTCCAGGTAAATACCAAGAGGAAATCTACACTTTCTGTTGCACAGTAGTAATGCAAGTAATCCCTGGCTTTTTTTCTTGAACAAAATTATTGCCTGAAACTTCAGTCAGCAAGGTTGTAAGTGCTAATCTGGCAGCAGAACGAGGCAGTCTTTTTTTTTTCCCACCGGAGAAAGAGCAGAACTTCCCTTGGTGCTTTTTGTATTGGTAGTATCCATCAAATAAGCAAAAAGATCTTTAAAATCTTATCCAGCTAAGATTAAATGCTTGAAATACTGCATTCCTCCAAAAGATTCAAACAATGTGTGAACAGGATCATGGCCAGTAAATATTACTTTAGTCGTAGCTCCCATGGTCTATCGCATGTAACCTCTGCCTTTTCATTTCTAAAATGGGGAAATGCCTCTCCTGCAGAAGCATTGAAAATAGCACCATAAGAGGACAGTGCCCTGAAAACTAGGAAGATACCACCTATCAGTGTCCCTGATACCAACTATCACAAGCCAATCTAAGATAAGCATTAGCTCTATAGCCTGAACTCTTAAAATCACATAGAATGGCACTTCTGTAAGAGTAGCCATTGCTTTTATAGACTGAGATCTGAGCAAATCTGAGATAATGCACAGCTTTCTTGTAAGAAATCTGAGATTTTTTGTTTCAGTCAAAGGGCTAAACCTCCCTTTAGAAGAGATGCCAAAGTGACTTTTTGTCCCCATTTACATAACCTTCTCTTAATAATTTTTTAAATATTTCTGCAATAGGTTCTGAGTAACATCAAAACTGAGTTTAAATTCAATCCCTTTTCAGGAATCTGTTGTTATTAAGCACTGCTGTTTTCCACCATTTCCTTGATTTGTAGAAATTAAGTCTTGGTGCATTAGCACTTCTGTGCAGTGCTATTGAGCTCTTTGCTGTAAGTAGACTTCTTAAGTGCAGCATTGGAATATCCCAAACTACGAGAAGGCTTTTAATTTTTAGTCTTTGTTCATTGTTACCTTTTGTCACTTGCAGTCAAATTAATTACCATGTTGAGAGCTCTAATTAAAGTGCTACAGCAGCTTTTTATCTTAACATTCAGCAACATTTATTATGTCTCTTACAATTGACTGATTCTTTCCTATAGTGTTGAATAGGGCAAAGTCTGAGAAAGCAACCTGATAAATGTTACATGTTTCTCTGTCAGAGTCATGTCACACACCAATGTGTGTTCCGTAGCCAGCAGGAGTATAAGCAGCAGTTGCTGCCTTGTTCTTTTGCTAAGTATTTTAGTTTCCTTGATCTTTGCACAGAGATCTGAGTAAAGCAGGTTTATTTTGATGACGCTAAGTTTTTCAAGCTTTCTGTCTAGTTAAAGACAGGAAGAACACTACCAGCTTCAGGAAACTTTTTAGGATGTTATTTATATATATAGGGCGAGGGAGAGAGAGAGGGGGGAATTGGAAAAGAGAAAATCAAAGCACTTGGGGAAAAGTGAGCTTCTAGTTTATTATTTTGAACTGTGCGTTGGTTCTCCATGTTAATGAGTAAATTCCTCATCTTCTCGGAGTAGCCGGGGATGAGCTCATATGTGAGCAGGAGGTTAAGAGACTGGGCCAACACGTTTTTAGTTTTCTCTTTTGCATGTCCAGTCAAAGTGATGAAACAGTTTAAACTGAAGCTGCTCTTAGTTAGCAGTGTTTTAATCATACTGCTGTGGCTGGGGCACTAATACTGTGCCAAGTGCTGTGCCTTATGCCTAGTTTACAGTATTAAGATAATTAAGAAAGCCAAACACCGTGAGAAATGCTGTTGAAGACCATGGGAGGTTACTCTGGGTTTGTAAATTGAGCTGAACAGACTCCCACGGAGTCCAGGAATGTCTGTGTCAGTTCTTCGCAGAGAACCCCCTGGGCTGCGAGTGCCCGTGGTGCTCCCCAGGGGAGGGTGCCAGAGCTGAGGCCACTCGTTTCACATGTGGTTAAGGATGCAGCCACTCCTGCAAGGAGATCACTGCCCCATGGCTCAGCTTCCGAGCAGGATTGGCCCACGTAACTTAAGCCACAAGTTTGAAATGAACCTGGTTTCCTTGATGTACCTGGTTTCCTTGATTTTTATTTGTTTATTTTAACCCTGGTAGGCTGAGTGCTGCATGAATTTCTCTACACCAATGTTTTGTAGTTTCTTGTATTACCTGAGACAGTTGCACTGCCAAGGAACAAAATACATTTATTTACGACTGCATGAGAAAACACTTGCAGAAAGTTAGTTGATAGCTAACTTTTGGTAGTGGTAGGTGGGAGAGGTGTGGATAAGGGAAGAAATGGATTTGTAACACTAGTCTGTATTTTGATGGGAATTTGACATTAGATTTTTGAGGGTTTGGGAGACCACCAGGAAACTCAGGCATGTGCTTAAAGGGTATAAGCGCAGACACTGATGAAGCGCCCATCTGAGCAGCAGCATTGTTGAAAAGTCTCCTTATTCTGCCTTTCTTGTCCAGAGTCCTTCCAGCACCACCCCTCCCATTGAGATCTGCTCTTCACGCCTAACGAAGCTGATGCGTCGAACCACCGATAAGAAGAGCGAGTTCCTGAAGACACTGAAAGATGATAGGAATGGGGAAATCACGGAGAATAGAGAATGTGACAAGCTAGATGATGTAAGATCACTGTCCTCATGGTATTCGTTTTCTTGGATTTTGTGGTACTGAAAAAAGCACTGTGTGCATTTCTGACTTTGGAAGAGAACAGCACTGACTGCTCTAGCATACTAGCCTGTACTGATAGTGAGCTGCTTGCTGAAATCCTGCCAGCAGTAGCTTTCTGCCATGCCTGCACTGAGGCAAAGAGCAGCAAAGGGAAGCTCTTGGAAACTCAGTACTTCGTGTATGCAGATACGAATGTGTAACAATACACAAGTCCAAACAAAAATTCACAATGTTGTTTCAATATTCTTCTGTATGAAAGCTGGCAGTTCTCACACAGATGAGATCAAGGTCAGTTTTTAGTGGAACCTAGTTGAAAACAGAGTTTGTCTTATGCATGGTAGGTCTGTAGAGGTTTTGTGTGTCCAAAGCACATGAGCAAAGAAGCACTCTGTGTCCAAAGCACACAGCGATGTGATCAGGAGATGCACAACATAATGAAATGCCAAAGGATAAGTAATAAATAAGGTGGAAAGGAGGGTGAGGGTTGGTGAAAGCAATCCAGATCTTTTGCAAGGATTTTCTGAAAAGTGAAGCATGTTTTAAGTTTTTAATTTCTTTTCATGCCTCTTGTCAAGCTACCTTCACAGGGAAGTTGGATTCATTGCTGGTGAAAGGTGCAGGTAGTGGCTCAAGCCTCAGACTTGGACTAGACCCTTAAATGCACATGTCTTGCAGTTTAATGTTTATATAATAGGCATCCTTAAGACTCTAAAGCCACTAATGATGGCATTGTAATGCCAGCACTTACTCCCTTGACATCAACTGCAGTCTGCCAAATGTTGTTCACGTCTTGCCTGCCCATCATGACCAGAAAGAAGTTGCTTTCAAGCATTTGTCAGTCCCAGCTTTGTTGAAAGCATTAATTTAAGGTAAAAGGTTTTAATTTGCTTCAAGAGCAGATGTTGGAACTTGGGACTGTTCTTCAGCTCTGTGCAAGCACATCCTGACATTCTCATTTTTCTTTAGATGGAGAGCAACAGCACACCAGAACCAAAGGAGAACTGGGAAGAGAATTGCCATCAGAATGGCCTTTCCCTCCCCTTGCCAGAAGAGGGGGAAAACCTCTCTCATTCATTGGAAGCAGAACACAGGTGAGGAAAGGGAGTATGTGGAATAAAGCAGGGTGACTTGTTTCTCCAAAGAAAACTCTCTGTCTGGGAAGTAGCACTATCTATCTGTGCATGGACCTGGAGGTGTGTGGGCTTCATTGCTAGTAGGGATCTAGGAGGAGGCTTGCTCAAAGTAAAACAAGGCACTGACAGCTGAGCCAAGATTTTCCCAAGGCCTGTAATTAAATTCCTTTACTACTTTAGTGCCACATCCCTGTGTGGTAATGCTGCCTACATCTTTACCTGCCCACCCTGGAGGCAGCCGAGTCTGGTGTCATTCTGGTTAATTTACAGGTGGTTGCCCTAAATGTGAGGGTCTGGAGGCTGAAGATAGACCCCACACACATAATTAATTTCTCTCTGGGCTAACATTGTTTCTGTGCTGCTTTTAAATGCTCTAAAGATTGAAGGGGAAAGGAAAATACGTTTGTAACTTTGACTTGTATCTTGCTTGTGTAAGTAGTGTGTGGGCATCTGATGTAAGTGGATAGTAAGTTTTAGAAGATCCTGAGATACTGGTCTGATGGTTTGAAGGAGGTCTCCTTCAGTATCCCTGGGTAGAATTTCAAATTTCTGCCTTGCTTTCCTGCTGCCAGAGTAGTTATGTACAGAGCTCTGAGGATTAAGTGTTCGTAATATGCATTGTGTATGACAATGCTGGATAAACACCAGGCATTGTTAAGTAAAATGTTAAGGTGATCTCTAGGATAGAAGAAGATTCCCTGGTGAATTTGGAGCAGTTAATACAAAATTTTATGCTTTATGGATGGACTGTTTTTTCCTTTGCCTCTGTTCTCTTGCTTTAATTGCTGTTCCCTTTCCCCATAAATCAGGTTATTGAAAGAAATGGGATGGCAGGAATATCCTGAAAATGATGAGAACTACCTTCCCCTCACGGAGGATGAGCTCAAAGAGTTCCAAATTAAATCAGAGCAGGTATGTTTATAGTTCTTGCCACAGGGGCTGCCCTTCTCTTCTCTCCCTTTTCATATCTTGTCTTCTGCAGTGTCATTTTTAGGATGCTTCAGAAGAGAGTGCAAAGATGACTGCATTATCCATACTGAGTGTATATACAACAAAAATATATATGATCTGTCATCATAGATGGTCAGTGATAATTATTCTGTGTACTTTGGCCAGTTTAAAAACTTACTTTCATTCCTACAGCGAAGAAGAAATGGATTTGGGAAGAACGGATTTCTTCAGGGCCGCAGCTCCAGCCTGTTGTTCCACTGGAGAAGCACTTTTAAGACAAAGATTGAGGACTCAGACACAGAAACTAGTAGCAGTGAAACTTCAGATGACGATGCCTGAAAGTGGGCACAAGAAAATTAAAATAAATAAAATCAACCCAATAAACTCAGTTCATAGTTCAACATGTGTTTGGGGTTGTATAAACTAAACAGAGTTTATTCTGTCTCCGGTCTGTTCAGTTTTTTTTCTTTTGTTGTTGATACTTCATGCACAAGGGAAATAATTGTATCCCAAAGAAGAGAGAAATTGGCTTCTTTAGCTTTTTCTTTTGGTTTTGCCCTAATGCTTAATAGAAGTTTGTGCAGCTAGTGAATTTTGAGAAAAATCCCTTGCGGGGCAGTGCACAAGTTCAGTCTTGTAAGCAGGATGCGAGTGAGTGACTGATCTTTGCAACAACAAGCTTCTAACAGTGCCGCCTGCATTACACAATGCTGTGCGGTAACAATGTGCTAAAACAATCATTGTCAATGACAAAATGGCTATTGAAGTTCTAATTGTGTTAAATTAATGCTAATAACAAACTTTTTATTTTATTTTTTTTGGCGGCTCGGGGAGCTTCATCACTTAACCAGGCGTTTGTGGTTTTCTTTTTTTGGGTACAGCTGTAAAATATTTGGATATAGGAATTGTTTGTGTTCTTCTTGCAGCCTTGATATTCAGGGTGGATTGTAAAATATAAATTTTTGTGAGATTTCAAAGATTAAGATTATTTTGATAACATTATTTACAGATTTAAAAAAGTGACTATCACATTGAGTCTGTATGAGGGGAAAAACTACTGCATCAAAAATAACTAACTTGGAATAAATATTTTGCATCAGTTTGCCAATTCTAATTGTCTTTCTTATGTAAGAAAAGCTTTCCTTTAGAGACTTGCAACTTTGGGGTTTTAATAACACTGAGGATTAATACTTTCTTCTCCCGCTGTATTTTCCCACTTGGCAAACATTGCTGTAGTGCTCAGATTGCAGAAGCTAGACTCTCCCTTTAAAGAGGGAGAGCAATGGTGAGATGATAGCCCATGTTTGTTTTAAAAAATAACAGTTTGAATTATCTTCTTCTAAAGCAGTTCACTGTTTTTTTCTGCTTCATACAAAATAGTGAAGCTCGATTGGTTGGTGTCACTTCCTGTTCCTAGTGCAATGCTGCTGTTTATGTTCACAACGTGGCAAGGGAATGTCTGAATCCAAAGCTGTTTTCATTGAAATCTTTTTTAAAAATTCATGAAAACATTTCTATTAGATTAAAAAGGATTTTACAAACAACTCCTTTGTGGCCTAAGCTATTTCAGTGTCTGTGTAAGCTCAGCTTGTACGCAAACATTTTTGATTGGGAAGTATTGGCATGGTTGTGCAAGTCTGTGGGTGGAAATGCAGATTGGCTCTGAAATTCAGGTCTCATTGGAATTGAGGCACCTGCTGACCTTAGTGTGGGCAGGATTTCATGCTAGGTTTTACTTGTTTTTAATCTGTCTCCTATTGGGGGAGAAATAAATGGATATGTAATAAATAAAATGTCCTTGCCATGCATCTTGGCATTTGGACTCAAGGGAAATGCTTCCAGCTATGTTCCCGTTATAACTGTGCTTTTAGTTTTATGCTATCAGTTGGACACTGTAACACAAAATTAATATACTAAGGGCTAACGGGTATTTCTTTATCACTACTAACCTGAAAGTAGCTCCTGGCTGCCGACTCTGCCTCGGACTGTTCTGTGAAATGCACGGAGAGCCTAGGATGCTTCTCTGAGCTTCTAGCTCCTTCTGGAGGTTGTACCTCTTGGGTTCCCATAAACTTGCCTTTTGTATGAGAAAGTTGCATCAGTTCAGTTTAATAGGGGAGGGCTTTAAAATGGATAAAGGCATGTAAAAGCTGATGTGAAAATTCATGCAATTGTATTTGCATTATTGTCAAGAAATAGGCTAAGTGGAAAGAAATTTTTCAGAGCAAATTCCTATGTCTAGCTGTAGTGGGGTAACTAAATGCTTTAAAACATCATGGTACTGCTAAAATAGTCTTGTCCAGAAGATGGTGTCTATCTCATTGAAGATGAGAAAGAATGACCTTGTATTGATGTTATGAGCTCCTTACCTCTCAACTATAAACGCTTTACTTGCTTCAGCTTCTCCCTCCTTACCCTCCAACTAGTCTTGGTGTGGTTTAAATGGTGAAGAAACAGTAATGAGTTAGATGGCCTCCAGAGAGCAGCTGAGTGAGCAAATGAGCTTAGTTCAAAGAGGCTAATTGCTGTAACGAGCAGCAAGAAGGGAAGAGAGCTCCATCTCCTTGAGAAGAACTTGCAGGTGCTCCTTCACATGTACTATTCATAAAAACAGCAACCTGAGAAACGAGGGAGGTAGGAGTAGAAAAAGCTAATCCAAGGAGCAGCTCTAGCAGCTTGGGACAAGGCACAGCACTGCAAAACAAGCTGACAGTTGCTAAAAGAGCTGTTTGCCCTTGGGCTGAGATTGCTCGCTTGGTTGAAGAACACATGGTGTAACCAAGGAAGGGGAAAATGGGCACTGCAGCCCAGAAGCCCAGCATGGGCTAACAAATTGTGGAGGTGGAGGCTGAATCCCTCAGCAGTCTCAGTATGGGAAGAGCTGGGTGTGAGGAGAGGGAGCTGGGTGCGATGGGGTGGGTGTAGCACCCAGGGAGCAGCAGTGCCCTGGCACGGCATGATGGGGGAGGCTGGAGCAGCTCCACAGCTGGCAGAGGAGCTGCAGAAGGGGTGGGAATTCAAAAGGCCATAACAGCCTCAAAGACCAAGCTCAGGGTTTACATGGTTTCAGTGCTGCGAAGGGACAGCTCGAAAGACAACGTCCTGAAGAGCTGCAGTGATCTAGGGTCTAGCCAGGCTGCGAAGGCAACTGTGCTTGTCCGTTAGTGGAACGTGATTGTCGTTGGCCTGTCAGGCTTCATGTTTAGCCTACCCGACAGAAGCAGAGGGCATTGGCTTCCACAGCCAGAGCCCATTGCTTTCCCTTTCCATGGGCACTGCAGCACAGAGGGGCTGCCAGTTCCAGTTCCTCATTCTCGCTGGTGTGTAGGGAGAAGTGGAAGTATCAGGCATCACACAAAAGAGAGTTTTATCTCAGTGTGTCCCTCCTGTCACCATTTGAACATGTAGGTCAGGTAAATCCTCCTGACAGTCCTTGGGGGCAGTTTTGCTGTTCACACACTGTTCCCTTACCCCAGATTACCCGTTGCAGGTTGCTCCCGTACCTCAGAGGTAGAACCGGGTAGCTGCGCTAGCCAGACAGCAGCAGGACAACGCGTGGCTGCCCCAGCCCCCAGGAGAGTGAGCGGCACATTCAGACCCTTGCGTGCAGCCATTCTGGTATCATAAAAACCCAAGCCTGTGTTTCCACGAGGCTTGCGGGGGGCTGGTGACCTCCTGCAGCGGAGCCGCTCTGTGTAACACCGTCCTCAGCTGAGGCAGGGAGGCCTGGCTGCTTCCGCCACCAGGGCTGCTGCTGCAGGGACACGCATGGCCTCATCCCGAGCTGAGGGAGGTGAGAGGCGGGTGAGACTAGGGAAGGGGAATTAGCAAAGCCTGAGACCAACTCTGGGGTGGGATTCAGGTCTCCACATAGGTAAGAGGCTGCAGCACAGAAGGACGCCACAGGCTCGAGGTGGCCAACAGTGAGGGTAGAGTGCCTCCCTGGGAGGGGGCTCTGGCAAAGGTGTAGGCCCAGGGGTACCTGATTTCAGGGCCAATGTGAGAGTAAACATTATAAACCACCCCCAGGGGGTTTTAGGAGGCCAATGCAGGGTCCCTTTTCTCTGCGCAGGCTCCTTGCAGTGCTGGCCCTGTCCCTCCCTCAGGCACTGCTGCTGCCCAGCCCTCAAGGCAAACAGGGCCTGGTGTGTGGTGCCTCCCTCCCCGCTTAGCAACAGCGCGCAGCCCCACGCGCTCCCGGGCCGCATGGCGGGCGCCGGGGCTCTCCCATGCCCTGGCTGCCACATGCGCTTCAGCTCCCAGCCGCTGCTGCACAAGCACATGGAGAGGCTTTGCATCGGGGCCCTGACGGCACCCAGGGAGGCCCCGCGCAAGGAGGATGCCTCGGTCGTGTGGAACCAGCGGTGGGCACAGGAGGGCCATGGGGCTGGTGTTGCAGGGAACAAGGTATTGCATCAAGCCTAGCAGTGCCTGTCCCATCCCATGCCACGGCTTGGTCTGGCTGTGCCAGGAACGTTTAGACTGTGCTGAGCGAGGCCGTCCCCTCACACCGGGTG